GACCTTGCATCTAAAACTAGGTGGGCATTGTGGCGGGCACCCGCAGTCCCAGCTACTTGGGAGGCTGAGGCATGAGAATCACTTGAGCCCAGGAGTTTGAGGTTGCCGTGAGCTATGATGGATAGCACTCTACTAAGGGTGGCAAAGTGAGACTCTGTCTTTAAAAAAAAAAAAACCCACAAACATACAAACCCAGGCAGCAACATTACCAACTAACAAGAAAAGGCCCAGGCTTCATTCACTACAGCCAAATAAAAACACATCTGGCTATAAAATACACAAAAATGAGCTTTACCTCTGCAATTGAGAAATACCCTTTAAAGCTGTGAAAATGTACTTAATTAAATAAGTAGACAGAGTATTACTTTGTGTAATGCTGAGAATAAAAGAGGACTTTCTTTACACCACAGTAATCTTTAACATACAGGAATTCTTGGTCACACGCACTACTTCTATACGTAACATGTTCAAAAGCAGGTAAGTTGGACAGGGTTTCTTTCAGTTTGCAGAGCTCCAAGATTCAAAGCAATCTGCAACCACAGCACATAAGCGCTCAGCATGTTATGAAGGGAAATGACAGGGTGAATTTTATACTTAACTTAATACAATTACACTTCACACATATAGGAAAAATCAAAAGCATTCAAAATGCACTTCTAATCCATGGGTACAAATTATTTCAAGGGACAAATGGAACCATAACTCACCACAGCAATCCTTCTAAACACTTAGAATCTCTAAATTCTAGACTAAAAAAGCAAAACAGGTCCAACTAAAAGTCTTATCCAAAACTTGATTTGCTGTTTTCTATGTGTGACCACTTTAACTAGATGTGATTGATTCTCTCTAGGTTGACCAAATGTATTCACCCTGCTATCTCTGTCAAGTAATGTCATTCAAAGAGAAAAGCAGAGAGTCACTAAAACTAGTCAATCCTAGATGCCAGCAACTAGTGAATGACCAGTGAGGACAGAGGTGAGGAAAGTCCCAAAACCTGGACACAACACTTAAATATTGTAGTTATAACACTGATCACCAAATAAACATCCATCTCCAGAGCAGATTCTCTGTCAATTCCTTCCAGAGTTCATACTGTGTATTGAGCTATGACCAGAACACATGCAGCCTTTAGTACGTTGGGAAGGAGGCGCCAGACAGCAAACAAATACTACACACACAGTGCATCAGAAGGCAGTAAGCACTAAGAGAAAAGCACAGCTGGGTAAAGGGCATGGAGGGTCATTAATTTATTAAAGGTAATCACTGACCTAAAGGAAGCAAGGTACGAGTTATGTGGTCATATGGGGGAAAGCATTCTAAGCAAAGAGTAAAGCAACCACAAAGCTGCCTGAGGCAGAAGCGCACCAGGCATGTCTAAGCAGTAACAAAAAGTCCCATGACTGAAGCAGTCAGGGCCAAGAAGAAAAGTCAGGGGTAGACGGGTAATTGGGCAGCATTTATTCAAGTAAGAGAAAAGTCAGGGCAGAGTTTTGCACAGAGAAGGAATAGACTCTCTCTAGCTCCTATAGGTTTAAGAAACTATTAACTTGCCACTGTTGTAGAAGCAGTGAAGGTCAGACTCTTCACATTCTACAGAGAGCCAGCAGAATCTGCTGACAGACTGGATGTGGTAAGGAGACAAAGATGAAAGTCAAGGAAGACACCACGGTTTGAGCATGAGCAACTAAAAGAGCTGCCATTTACTGCTATGGGGAAGAAAGGGGAAAGTGGGGGTGTGTTTGAATGTATTCAGACCCTACCAGACATCCAAACTGCAATGCACGCATGGGCCCAGTGGTCAGAAAGCGCCAAGCTAGACAGGAATCTAGAAGGCCTCAGCACACAAGCAGTAGCAGTAACCACAGGGCTGGGTGGTATTAAAACCAACTACAGAGTTGCAATATTCGAGATGACAAAAGAATACTTTGAACCAAATAGGATATTATGGACAGGCCAAGTAAGTTTGTGATTGCTGGTGAAGCTACAGTGATAAGATGACGGAAAGACAGTAAGAGGAACGTGCTCTGAAAAACCTGAGCTGAAAACAATATACTGTTTTATTCACAGAGAAGCTCTCTACATATATAACAGTTGCCCGCGGACAAATTCCATATTGATGTTACCAAACGCTGTATTTAATAAAATCCAGGCTGCCGCAGTCCTTCCCAGCTGGTTTCCACTCCAGAAAGACACACAGGATGGGAACATCTCCCCCTACTGTCCCACAAGGAAATATCTCTGCTGTCTCACAGGGAAGTACGCGTCTCTGCTGTCGAAATAAAAACTGCCACAGGCCTTCCTGTGCTAATGAATTAAGAAGGGAAAATACTGAAAGAGTATAACCTTGCAAATTAATTAAAAGGTTATTGAATTTTTTAAAAAAGCATTCTTAAACTAACGTTTTTTGAGGGTCTAAATTAAAAATTTTAAGGTCTATATAAAAACAGAAGAACAAAACATGTAGGGACTAAGTATATGAATTGAAAATAAAAGTTCAACTCCAGAAATAATGAGACTGAATAGGTTCACTAGTGGTGTTTAGTTGGTGTCACAATTTGAATCTAAAAATAATTAAGCCAAATAAAGCAACATTTATATATGCTTTAGGAAAGCATATTGGTTTTTTTGTTTGTTTTGTTTTGCAGTTTTGGGCCAAGGCTGGGTTTGAACCCACCCCCTCTAGCATATGGGGCCAGCGCCCTGCTCCTTTGAGCCACAGGCACCGCCTGAAAGCATACTGTTTTTAAATACTCAATATAAAAAGGTTTAGGCTGGGCACAATGGCTCATGCCTGTAATCCTTGCACTCTGGGAGGCCAAGGTGGGTGAACTGCCTGAACTCAGGAGTTCAAGACCAGCCTGAGCAAGAGTGAAATCCCATCTCTACTAAAAATGGAAAGACTAGCCAGGTGTTGTGACAGGTGCTTGTCCCAGCTACTTGGGAGGCGTAGGCAAGAGGATTGCTTAAGCTTAGGAGTTTGAGGCTGCTGTGAGCTAGGTGGAGGCCATGTCTCTATAGCCCAAGTGACAAAACTTCTGAGGAAAAGGAAAGAGGGAAAAGAGGGGAAGGGAGGGAAAGAGGAAGCAAGCACAGACATAAAGAGCACAACCTAAAGTTCTCCTGAAGATATCATTAATAACCTCTCTGATTAGTCAGCCTCTGTCCTATTTGGCATCTGGCCCCAGTATGTTAACCCCACTATAACTTCAGGCTCCTTTCAACATAAAAATAATTTGCAAGAATATGCCAGCACCCTTGTACCAGGTGTTTACAACAAAAAAATTTTAATGCCAGTTGTTCAGAGTCAAATACTAATTCTATCTGCCAAAAAAAACTTTGAAATATATAATCAGCCATAATTAGACCTGGAGGGCAGAATGACCACAATCAAATAAATGGAGGAAAGAATGATTTTCATTTTTCTGATAAAGGGGAAACAGTCACACATTCAGGAATAAAATAGTCGTTATCTTAATAAAGGGATTGAATTTATTACAATAACCTTCAGAGGATGATACAATGTCCCACCTCACAGATAATCTACCCCGGTCCTGTTCAGCACGTACCATGTACAGTATTCTCTAATAAAAACTCCTTTACCCCCCCCAACCAGGCCCATCCGGGACTAAGAAAGAGAACATCAAGTCTGCCTCAGGGGTTTCCAACGTGAACATGACTCCTCTCTAAAGTAAGCATCTGTCAAGATCTTAGAAAGAAAGTCACTGTTGAGAAAACCATTAATTTGTGAAACAAACAATGGTATCCAAAAGTGCCAAATTAAGAAAAACCAAGTATCCTGTCTTTTTTAAGAATGGGGTAAGACAGTTTAATGCTATAAATATTTTTATATCAAAACACACCCTAATTAAATCTTTAGCAAATTTTAAATACAGGCTTTTATTAAATATGTACAAAATTGCAGCTTTTTCCATTGATCAATAGCCTATGAGAGGCCTCATCTTTACACTTATAAATTATTCACTAGACTGAAAGGGAATCTTTTACTTTATGGACCTGAACAACCTGAACATTAACTTTAGAAGGAAAGTAAGACAGACTTCTTTTTCGGGGTGTTTAAAAGAAGAGACACCTGTGTCTTCAGAGCTTTGCCAACTAAGTTTTTAAATATGAAAGCAATTGAAAAGGATCATACTTATGAACAGCAATCATAATAACACTGAGCAGGAACAAAGGAGGCAGAGACTGCAGTCCTCCCCAAGCAAGCCCATCTTCTAACCAGACTTGTACTGGTCATGTGTTGACAGGCTTAATCAATAGCATACAGCCGTTCTTTTCTAAGCCTTCATCTCATTGTGTAAGATAAAAAGTAAAGCAACTGCCAGATTAAATAAGGTCTATATTCCAATTGTTCAAAGTCAAGTTCCCTGGACAAATTTCCTCAATGGTTCTCCTTGGAAAAATTAAATCTACATGGAAAATATTCATTCCATACTCCAGAACCATAAAAATATCAAAACCTCAGGTTACCAACAAACGTAACCTAAAAAGCTGAAACGTGAATGAAGCACAGGGTTACAACAGCATTCCCCAAAGAAATCCTCTTCCTTACTTCAGCAAACACAGGAATCTCCTCTCAAAAGCTTTTAATAAAAAAACTGCCACTTCTGATTAAAGTTAATTTGATCCAATTCGTGGGACCTGGGGAAATGCACACAGATCCCTTTCTTTACTCTCCTCCCTACTTTACCTTTCAAATTCCAAACTGACTAACAATATAACTAACTACCTAGAGACTTGCGCCATTTTCAGCAGCTGGTAATTTACAATATTATTTTAATCAGTGGGATGTGTTACTTTTTCCCTAAGGTCTGTCACTTTTCATATCTTTTAAATAAACAAATGACATGATAGAGAACAGGAAGCACTTTTATAATATTACATAATTTTAGAATTGTGCAGAAAACGCTAATAGTAAATAGCAGCCCATCAAACCAATAAAAACCCCAGAGAAGTGCCCAGTAAAGATTTTTAGGCACCCTGTGCTCACTTCTGCACATATACTAAAATTGGAACAATACAGAGAAGATTAGCATGGCCCCTGCATATGCCATTCTTTGCATTGCAAGAATGACATGCAAACTCATGAAGCATTCCATAATTTTTTAAAGTATCCAATGCACTCAATACTAATATGAAACCAATATGTAAACAACTACAGGCACATGTGAAGAAAAACACAAGTATAGTCTAGCAAGGAGGATGGGAGAGGAGGGAGAAGAGGCACGGGATCAGAGAAGAGGGAGAGAAGGAAGAGGGGATCAGAAAAGAGGGAGAGGAGGAAGAGGAGGGAGGGAGGAGGGAGAAGAGAAAGGGAAGGGAGAAGAGGAAGAGGAGGATTAGGAGAAAGAGGAAGAGGGGAAGGAGGAAGGGGGGGAGAGAGGGTAACTGGTAGGATCTCCCTAATTGCACAATTAGAGAGAGTGTTCAGCACATCCCAGGGTGAAGGGCTCAACTAGAACTTGAACTTTACCCTAGAAATGAAAACAATGTAACCTAACCAACTGTACCCTCATATTAATCTAAAAAAATAAATTAAGTTTTAAAAGATGATTTTTAGAGAGCCTCCATTGCCAGATCCACACCTAAGCTAATCCTGGTTTCCACCCGGGTCAGAAACTGTATGTCAGGTGCATGTTTGTTCCTGACACTACTAACCTTTTCTAGAAGGGTTTTAAGCTTGGCAATCAACCAGTTAGGAATCAAAGACAGAAATGACAGTGATGTCAGGACTCTAGCTTCAGCAACAGGGGTAGGCAGGATAAAGAGTGATGCATGGTAACTGCATGAGAGAGAAGGGTATGCAGAAGTCTGGGAGGCTGACTGGTGAATTAAAAAGAGATTTAAATTTTGAAAAGTATTGGTGACTGGGCATGGTGGCTTATGCAGCACTCTGGAAGACTAAGGCAGAAGGACTGGATATTGGAATATTTGTATTATACTTACAGGTTGGACATTTCAAATCTGAAAATCAGAAATCCAAAATCTGAAACGCTCCTTCCAATAAGCATTTCCTTTAGGTATCATGTTGGCAATCAAAAAGTTTCAGATTTTTGGAGCATTTCAGATTTCTTGTTTTCAGATTTGGGATGTTCAACTTTTCCCCCTAAAGTTCACATCTTCTACTGTCATATAAGGGTTTAAGAAGTTGGTAGGGGCTCAGCGTCTGTGGCTCAAGCGGCTAAGACGCCAGCCACATACACCTAAGGTGGCGGGTTCGAATCCCCAGCCTGGGCCCACCAAACAACAATGATGGCTGCAACCAAAAAATGGCCGGGCGTTGTGGCGGGCACCTGTAGTCCCAGCTACTTGGGAGGCTGAGGCAGGAGACTTGCTTGAGCCCAGGAGTTGGAGGTTGCTGTGAGCTGTGATACCATGGCACACTACCCAGGGGGATAGCTTGAGGCTCCGTCTCAAAAAAAAAAAAAAAAAAAAAGTCGGTAGGACCCGTGTGTGCGCCTAAACTCAGCTGGTCTACCCGAGACCCCCTGAGCACCAACCCTAGTGCTCTACACAGCCCCCTTCATGCTCCAACATGATGAAAGAAACTATCATTAACCAAGAGAAACTTGGCAAACTGCAGGCACAAGTGCGCATTGGCAGGAAAGGAACTGCTGGCAGAAAGAAGAAGGTAGTTCACAGAATAGCTACAGCAGATGATAAAAAACTTCATTTCTCCTGAAAGCAGTTAGTGGTAAACAGTATCTCTGGTATTGAAGAGGTGACTATGTTTACAAACCAAGGAACAGTGACCCACTTTAACAATCCTGCAGTCTAGGCATCTCTGACAGCAAACACTTTCACCATTATAGGCCATGCTGAGACCAAGCAGCTGACAGAAATGCTACCCAGCATCTTAAACCAGCTCGGTGCAGACAGTCTGACTAGCTTGGGGAGGCAGACTGAAGCTCTGCCTGAACAATCTGTGGATGGAAAAGCACCACTTGCTACTGGAGAGGATGATGATGATGAAGTTCCAGATCCTGTGGAGAATTTTGATGAGGCTTCCAAGAATGAGGCAGATTGAATTCAGTCAACTTCTGAAGATGAAAACTTGAAGAAGTTACTGGGAGCTGCTATTTTATATTATGACTGCTTTTTAAAATTGTTTTTGTTTATGGATCTAATGAAATCTAGATCTCTAATATTTTTAAGCCCATGCCCCTTGGACATTGCAGCTCTTTTCAGTTTTTGCTTATACATAATTCATTCTTTGCAGCAAATTAAGCTGAAGAAGCCTGGGAATAAAGTTTGAAAGAAAGGTCAAAAAATTCTTCACCTAGTTAAAAAAAAGAAAAAAGTAGTCTGTAGGTAAGAAAACTGTTCCAGTTTGTTATCAACAAATTAAACACTCATAGCAGATTTCCCAGTGTTGTTCATCTCTACATTACAAAATTTATATAAACGATAAAGACCAACTCTCATTTCTTCCTATGAACAGAATGTAAGCCATGCACAAGAATAACCAATCTTACAATTTAACTGCACTTAACTAACCTTAGGAGTTCTTGGTGGGAATCTGATTCTCCCATACACCTGGCATATAAGCTTATGTCTTAACCATTGATTGGGTTTTAGAAAAGGAACGTAAAATATCCAGCTGGCCCTTTTTCCCATGTTAAAGACTCACCTCCTGCTGGACACAGTGGTCCTTGCTACTAAGGAGGCTGAAGCAAGCCAATCACCTGAGTCTAGTTCTGTGCTGCAGTGTGCTAAGCCCACCAGATGTCCACTCGCACTCTGGCGTCAATATGATGACCTCCCAGGAGCAGGGGGAGCAGGGGACACCACTAAGGAGGAGTGGGGTAAACTGGCCCAAGATAGAAATGGTGCAGCTCTGAGACTCACCTCCAATGAAGAACCATATATAAAAAGAATGATTCTCTTCACAAAACACTCTTAAATGTTTGTGAAGGATGCTGAAGGACTAAATAAACCAAGTCATGTATTTCTTACTTAAAAAAAATTTTTTTTGAGAATCTGTCAGTAACTCAAGTGAGGTATTAAATTAAAATGTAAATAAACTGAACTACCAAGAAAGGAAAACATTAACAAGAAAAATGAGACTGATCACCTAAAACCACTGAGGGTGCCAAGGCAACAGAAATACGCCTGGCCTCAGCACACTCTCACCACAACCCAGGCTCCACCCCAAGGACAAAGGGCAGATTTTGCCTATGGTCACCAGAGACTACCAACCAACCAATGGTAAAAGCACCACTTCAGGAGGACAAAACAGCAGGCAAGTGGTTATTACTACTGGTCACTGATTCAAGCCACATAAATTGGATGAAGACATTTGGGGCAGTTCTGTGGACTCTTCCTTCCGCATTTCCAGTGCCCTCTTCAGTTATAAACCTCAAATTCGTACTCTCTACAAACGGAAATGCCACTTACCTTTTGTCTCCATTTTTACTATTTTCACTGAAGACTGTCTGAAAAAAAATCATGTCAAGCCCAATTTCCTCCCTCAACGAAGTGTCCCTCCAGACCCCTCTATACAGCCCTGTTCCCCCCAACTCCCCAACACATGCCTCCTCGGCACACCCCTCCACTCCAGCTAGCCCCCCGCCCCGGCTCCCAACGTGTGGACTGCGAGCTCAGTAAGCATCCAGGAGTAACTGAACATCACTCACAGCCACTTCAAGCCCTACACTGTCTGAGAGGTAATTTCTGGTACTTCCAACCCACGCCATGCCACTCTTGCCCTTCTTTAATTCCTTCTGTGATAACAGCCTGTATTTGACAGGTTAGTATCCTCACATATATGACTAACACAAAATACCTTATTATTTACTAACTCGAATGTTTCATACATTGTCTCCCCTCATCCTTCTCTGTAAGGCTCAACTGACAGAATACGCCCTTGTCCTTGCTGGCTTTATAATCATGGGTTAGTCAATCTCTCCACCAAGATTTCAGAGTCTTCACTGGCAAAATAAAGATAATAATAATATAACATGCCTCACGGAGTTGTGAGGAGTAAGTAAAATAACCTCTGTAAAAGACAGATTCACACAGTGCCTAGCAACATACGCTGCTCCGTAAGTGTCAATCAACACTGCTGATAACACCGTCTCTACAAATAGAAAACTTAGCCAAGCACGGGGCGTGTGCCTGTAATCACAGCTCCTTGGGAGGCTGAGGCAGGAAGATCACTCGAGCCTAGGAATTTGAGGTTGCTCTGAGTTAGGAGGCCACCACGGCTTTCTAGCCCAGGAGATGGTGTGACCTGCGTACACACATACACACACACACTGCTGACAGAAACAAACCATGTGCTTCACATCTTTAGAACTGAATGCACAGAGCCATTCAATAAACCTTTTGCAGAAAATATATCTAAAACACATCTTGCTGGAAAGCTCTTTTAGTTTGTATTGTTTAATAGTAAGAGCTGTCGCTTCTCGAGAAGCCTGCTTTGACTCCTCAAAACCCTCCAAAGGGTTGCTCAAGCCTCTGGAAGCCAAACTCAGACTACAAGCATTGCCTCCTGGTTTCTGCTTAGAATCATGAGAATAACAGCTATGCCATGTTTACCTCTGAATACTGGATGAACTAATAAAATCAATTTATTAGACTTCATTTTTCATTATCCACTAACAAGGTTCCCTATGTTATTATCAAAGGGCACAGATTCTTATGTCAGAATGAAATGGTTCTTGTTAATGTTTTTCTTAAATACTTTAAAAAAGGGATACTTTGAGGGTTTCATTTTAAACATCAAATTACAATTCTTCATCTCACATGCTAATAGTGCCTTTACAGAAAAAAAATACATGTCCACAAAACCATAAAATACCTAAAAATGAAAAAATGCCTTCAGGTATTACTCATCTTACGGCTATGTGAACCACATAAGGGCTTTACTGTAGGGTTGTGCTGTCCCAGATGGGAGTCACCATCTACATGGCTATTTAAATTAAGTAAAATTAAAAATCCAGTTCCTTGGTCACACTGAATTTCAACTGCTTACCAGCCACTTGTGGCAAATAATTCCATAGTGGACAGTGCAGATACAGACACCATCAAAGAAGTTCTGCACGTCTTACACAGCACTGAGCTAGAGCTAAATGTTATGTAAGAA